CTATATAGGAGAATGAACTTGGCAATACAGTAGTCCCAGTTAACAATGGCAATTGGGACCAGAATTTCCATCGCTAAGGGATGCAACTGTAAAGTGCGACTTCATGTGACTGTGTGGCATAGTGACAGCAGTTCCAGCACTTCCCAATCCTGTGCTGTCATTAAGCGAAGATGTCACGTGGTTGCCATTTGTGACCTCCTGGAGGCTTTCCCATTGATTTTGTTTGTAGGAAGCTGACAAAGAAGATTGCAAATGGCAACCACCTGACTATGGGATGCTGTGATGGCTGGAACTTTGAGGACCAGTCGTAAATACAACTTGTTCAGTGCAGTTGCAAGTTCGAACGATCACTGAACAAGGACCACCTGTAATGTAAAAAGCATGTGGGTTAACATAACTAGAGGAATGAATAAAAACAATACTATTGTTGGTGTTTACTGTCACTCGGCCAACTAAGAAAAAGGTGAATTATACTTTCAAAGAGGTGAACGGATATTATAAACATTTTAATTATTTTATATACTAGATGCTGCTATTTATCTACTTCTTATCTTAACTGTATCATGTAAATTTGTCAACCACTTTAAAAATTATTTTTGAAAAGTCAGAAAATATTATTTCTGAAAAGACAGGAAGTTTTTATTGGGAGCATTTCTGAGATTAATATGATTGTTAAACTACAATAAAAAAATATACAATCTAAAACATACCACCCATAAGCAAAATCAAAAGTTGAACAAAACAAAACAAAAAGGCAGCTCAACTCTACCACAAATGCTCCAAATCATTTAAATGGAATTATTTTATGGCTTTTTGAAAATTAACAATATGGGGCCAAACTTCAAGAGAGGATAAATTACTCCATACTCTCAGGGCTCCTGAGCTAAGCTCTTAGAAAGCAAAAAAGAATATAAATCTAATAAATATATAAACTGGACTCATAAAATTGGCAGCCAATGTAATGACTGCAGCACTAGTGTTATGCTGCTAAATCGGCTCTCACCATCCAGAAGCCAGGCAGCTATATTCTGAACCAAATGCAGTTTCCAGGCAAACTTCAAAGGTAGCCCTTTGAAGAGTCTGTTACAGTAGTCTAATAGTATGGCAGTGAATCACTGTCCTAAGGGCTGTGCTATATAATACAAAAAATAATGCTGTTGATGTATTATAATGCATCTAAGTTAAGGTAGGCAAAATTATACACCTACACAGAGCTATTATTTGATAAATTATTATGTTGTTTGGAATAGATTCAGCTGAAATTCAGTTGAACATTGTGTGTAACATCTAAATGTTGTTATCAGATGTACCCAACAAGCATACATATCAACTGTAACATCTGTTTGATCTGTTTGCTCCAGCTTGCAGCTTGAAATTGCTCAGTATTTTGCAGAAGATGAATTATCATTTTGGTGGATTCATATATCTGATAGATGTAATCAGTAATGCCTCATTTTTCACCTGGAAGAAAAGCATTTCTCCTGAAAGGTCCTGTATATCTTTTTGACTTGAGTTAGAAGTCCTACATCATGAGACATCAATATTTCATGACCATTACTAAAGATATTATTTTTGTGTCCCCCAGCTATTAGATTTCACCTTGGAAATAGTAATGTGTGTTACTGGGAAAATAAGTCTCTGATTGGTTTGATGATCTCCCTCATAATGGATTTCATTTTAGAAATCTCATACTACTTAAAATATCTCTGTTTCAAATTTAAGAGTGTATTTCTGTCAGAACTATGATCTTTGCATTTATCTGATCAAAAACTGGTAGTCATTTTAACCAGAATAATGCTAATATTCAATTAATTTGTTCATACCTTTTTTCATTACCCCAAAGGAAAATCAATAATATGAAATTATATTTTCATGCTTTTACAAAAGCAGAAACAGCACACATTCTCAGGAACAACAAATCTTAGGGGAAATGTTCTATATTGATAGCAAAACCATGCATTTGGAAATAACTTTAGCACAATATAGAAGGCAGAAGAGTACAAAGACAGAGCTCAAATGAGGAGTATAGAATTTCCTCCCAAGTTAAGGTTACCTCCCAAATTTTCTTCTCAGTTATGCTACAGTAACAGAAATCTGTTCATCAGCAGGGAAAGTCCTTAGTCACAACACTATGAGGACATAATAGGCAAGGATGGGTTCAACACCTCTTGCTTTTTGTTGTTGGGCCCCAGAAGCATATGAAAAGGTTACAACTAATCTGCTTTAGGATGGTTGACTACAATATCATCCATAGTAATTTTCAGACACAGATGGTAGAGAAAATTGTTTTTCCTCTCTAATTAAACATGAAAATTCATTTCAGAAAATGAAAATGAAATAATAACATTCTACTTCCATAGTAACTAATTTCTCCTCCCCCTCTCCTTCTCCCCCTCCCCTTTTTATAACACAAAGAAAGCGCAAGTGGAAGCAGAGTGCAGTCTTTTATTTCTGTTTGATAACAGTGAGGAAAGAAGGATTCCTTCCAGCATCTTTGATTTCCTAAAATTTGGTCAGTGAAAGAATCTACAATACCCTGGAGATAGAAGCTATTCTGTTCCATTGTACTTACTACCAGGAGCCTGGATGATATTGTTTTAGCTTGGAATTTAGCAAAAATGGTAACTGCCCCATCTTCAAAACAGTGCTTCTTAATTTTAAAACCTGAAGATAAAACCATCAGTACTTATCTAATTTCTTCTGTGTACAGATTAAGTGGTTGTGATTTTTTTCCAAGGAAAAAACATTTTAAAATTTGGTAAACAAAAGCCTTCAAGACACTACAAGGCAGTACAACAAAAATGGTGAAGTGGGCCCTTTTTTCCCTAATAAATGACACTGATCTACAAAGTGGTCAGTGGTGGTGGTAAAGGGTATCAGGCACCATAATATATATGGTTTTTTCCCTATAGGATAATAGATAGGCAAAAACCTGAGAACATGGAACAAGTCAGCAATCATCAATAGCTGATCTAATCTGCATCATGAAAGCTATGCTCACATTCTTCCCTGACAACTCTTCTCTCCTTACCAGCCATCCTTCCTTTTCCAGGACTATACCAAATGTCTCTCTAAGAAGAAGCAATTCATGGACAGTCCACATGCAAAACTATACTGTACTAATATTACAGCAGAGTATTTTAGTCTATCCCAATTATTACTGTCATCTTATAAATAAATATTTTGCCAAAACAAAAAAAATGCTAGGCAACACTTTTGTTAATAGCGTTTGTTGTACCCATGCAATAGTATTTCAATATTCTTGTACATTGGATTACATAGTTTCTGTCTACTGCTCTCCAAATCTAAGTTAGCGTATAGCATGCTCCAGAAAAACTGGATTAACAATAAAATACAGAGTAAGTGGATATTTATTCACTTGAAAATATATGCCTATTTACATACTGTATATACAGTGGTACCTCGGGTTACGAACGCCTCTGTTAATGAACTTTTCGGGTTACGACCA